AAAGGGGGGGGGAGTGGAAGGAGGAAACATCTGTGTGAGATGATGTATGTGTGTGTGTGTGTGTGTGTGTGTGTGTGTGTGTGTGTGTGTGTGTGTGTGTTTGGGTAGGTGTGTGAATGTGTGTTAAGTGTGAGAGTGATTGCTCAGAGTCTGGAGGCATCTGGGGGCCACGCTCAATTCCAATTAGCCTCTCTTTCCAAAGTGCACACCCTTGAAAAAACGCTGAGGTGAAAGGCAAAGCTCAAACAAGCATTAAAGACACCGGGGCAACCTCTGCGAGAAAGATTGTCAAAATGTGCACTCAATTGGGAATGTGGTGAGACATTTGAAGGTCTTGAGACAAACCTGTCCAGCTGTGACTAGCATGTGTTTCAAATTAGGAATTTCACAGAGACACACGCTGACTCACCCAACTCCAACCAGGACATGTGCATATGTGCTTACATGCACATACTGTATATAGATACACATAGAATGCAAACAGGGAAACAAACACAACACCTTTGTCTCCTTCACATCACACACACACACTAACTAAGTAAAGTTTAACTGACTCATCCATACATCAACAGGGAGAAGTCAGCAGCATGCTAACTCCAGCAGTGGGAATAGTATGTAAGGACAGCAGCATCTGCTCTGAGCTCCTCAGCGTGCTGGTTTGGAAGTGAGAGCCCTGTAATTGCCAGGAAGCTGTTGCACAGAGCACCTCATTTCTGAACTCAAGCCATACATCACTGTAGGAATGAGAAGGCAGAGGACTGATTTAAAAAGGCCTCCACTCTTTCATTTTAACACGGCCGTTTCCAAAAGGCTTCACCTTTCATGTTGCGGTGTCTTTCTCTTGGCTCTGAGTTCGGAGTTCACTTTGGCTTCAACCTGTCGCTCTCTGATGAGTGTTCTCCAATAGCAAACCCTAAAACTGACTGCCATCCCAAAAGCTGATCAATCTGGAGTCACCTGTTGCGCAACATGGACCACCGTGGTCGACTTCTCAATAAGTCTTAACTCACTTTTTTCATGTCGACAATAATAACTCAACCTGGAGGCGTGAGGCGTTGGAGAGCCTTGAAGCTAAACAGTAGGAAGGGATTCTCTGCGGAGAACTCTCTGGGGGGGCGGGGGACTGGAAATAAGTCAAGTGACAGCTGTTATTATAGACTGCAGATTTACACTTGTTCATTTTCCAGCCAAGGCGTGCATGTTTTCCCATGTTAGTACCATATTTCCTCCTCCCTTTATGTTGGCGAGGTGTGAAGACAGGGGAAAGGAAAGGTGAGCCAGAGAGACAACATGATGCAACCATGACCCCAACCAACCTCTCCTCTTTCTATATCGGCTTATTTTGTTTCCTAACCTGCTTTTTTCCACTCTAAGTGAACTCATCCTACACCAACACATGTTTTCCCAAAAAGTGTCAGGGTTGTTATTAAAGTGAATGAGTAGTTTTGCTACTCAGATGTTCCATTCACACACTTTTACTCAGTACAACTGCTGAGACACTCTCTCTCTCTGACACTCTGGGTATTTGTAAATGTTGAATATGTAAATATGATATCCTCTGTTGTTTGTTTGTATGTTGTTTTTATGTTTCATGTGGAACTAAATGATGCAGGTCTCCCTTGTAAATGAGATCGATGATCTCAAGGGACCAATCTGTCTAAATAAAGGTTTGAAATGAAATGAAATGAGAGATACATACCTCTTGTAATCCTCAAAAACTGATCAATAATCTTTTGTACAGTTGAATGAAAAACGTTTAATGTGAAATGTTTCCCTTCTGTCAAAGACTGCGTTTCTCTACAGATATTTTTGACCTTTTTTAGCTCATTGTTTCGCCTTAAAGCTTCATTAATTTATTGGGCACCTCGGGGCAGTAAAATAAATTAATATGGGATTTGCAATTAAGCATTTTAAATTCTACTCTAATCATTCTTGTTTTTTTCGTGAGCAAGCAGATATTCTCTTTTGGAGTTCCTGTCCTTTTGTCATATATTTACACGTTCTGCCCATTTCTAATGCAACCCTTTTCAAAATGTATTTTTACCACCCCCCTACAGTATAATCAGGCAAATACTTCCTCCTCCTTCTACACAGCCAGCAATGAAAGGCTCACTCACTGGCTGCTGGACACAGTAATTCCATCAGCAAACTACATGAACGCTAAAACAACAATCCTCTTGTTAGCCCAAATCCACAGATATGTCTGTGATGATGGCAAATCAAAGTGGCAACATCCTGCAAATATCCAGAGATTAACAGAGAGTGACACTGACACCAGTCTCACAACACCAAGCTCCAGTACAGGCACACAAACACTCAAACACATACACACAAACACACACCCCGTCCTCGCATCGTACGACAAGTCTGTCAGGCTGCCAGCGAGCTCCAGCCAACACTCACCGCCTGCGCCAACAGACTCCATTCTGCCCGGCTTCACTTCTCAAGAGCTCACTATTTCACTCTAATTGGCTGAAACCAAAGCAGGTTGTCATTCTTTTCCGAGGTATGCTCTGGAAATCAAAAACAACTTCCCGTTTATTCATTTAGACACTCAATTAAGCCCCTATTAACTCTCCTGTTTTCCTCGGGTCAAATTTGACTCTTTTTATATCGGAATAAGGGGTTATTTAGTCGATTTGCCAGAAATAAAGACAAAAAAAGTGAAACTTTCAACTCAAAATCCAGTTGGTTAAAAAGTGTCACACAGATTTGGGTTATGATTTATAGAATGAGTTGCACAATTGACAGTAAGACCACACAAAGGTTAAGCGAATTTGGAAGCTTTGTGTGTTTTACACGTAAAGAAAAAAGCAGTTATCAAATTAAATGAAAGCAAAAACACGTGAATATATACATTTTGCAACAAATGTATAAAGAAGGCAGTGAGAGTTTTCAGCCAAGGCCACATTTAAATTGACAGTAAAGTTAACAAGACCTTGGACAATAAAACACCACAGTTTATTCAAGCTCCGCCGCTGCTTTTATCTTGCCGCCACCCACTGAGCAACAACGTGGTGAGAAGCAGCGCGGGGATCTTCAAATGCTGGGATGTGGATACAGGGCTAAGCGGGCCCCGGCTTTAGCTTGACAGACTCCTATTGACCGTGCTGACTGGCCCCTAATCCACACACACACACACACACACACACACACACACACACACACACACACACACACACACACACACACACACACACACAATAAATGTGCAAGAATATAAAAGCAACGCACACACAAGTTGTACATGCATGTATACACACACAATCAAAATGCACACACAAACAGACACACACACAGACGCACAAGCTCGACCCTTTGAAGAGTGAGAGGGACCGAAAAGGGGGGGCAAGGGGGGGGTTAAGGGAGAAAGAGCAGCAGAAGAGAGGATGAAGGGGAGGGAGGGTGGTGGCGGTATTTATAGACAACAAGTGATGGGATGCCCTCGTTAGTGCACGGCCCACTGAACCAGATGACAGACGCGCCGCCAAAGGTCATGTGACCGCATTACTCACTCCGGCGCCCTGAGAGAGGGCCCGTTGAGCAACAGAGATGGAGCAAGGGAGGGAGGGAGGAGAGGAGAGAGAGAGAGGAAGAAGTATAGAAGCAGAGAATGAACCCTGCACTGCCCCTTGCCCTATTTCAGCTAAGCTGTATACAAACAAACATTTTCACTATTCATTTAGAGGACGTGCCTCTTTCCCACTTTTCGGGCAATGACCTCAATTACCCGATGCGGTCATAACTTTGTTTCGTAACCCAATAGAACAAATACTCTCTGTAGGCAAAGCAAGAGGTCACAGCTAGCCGTCCAGAAAATGTACTTTTCACGAGAGATGACGTTTCACGTGTAAACGCTTAGAGTGACATGGCAGGCTTTGGTGTAATGATAGGCTTTCAAAGAGATCTTTAAAGGGGCGGCTGTGGCTGCTAAGACAATACCTGCTGCTAGTTTGCCCCATAGAGGCCATAGCTGTAATCCTCTAGATCTGACACCTCCCTCCCCCCACACACACATACACTCTCAGGGCTCCACAAACACCTCAGAGCCAGGATCTCGGCCCTGTAAAGCCTTAGACCTGAACCTCATGACTTCTTTGAAGAAAGAATGACAAAGGAGTCAGCAAAGAGGAGAGAAGGTGTTATAGATGCAGAGCTTTAAGTA